CTGCGCCATCAGCCACGCGTGGCCGATGGCGCAGCACAAAACACAGCGTGTGCGGCGGGCTTAATTACCTAACCGTCTCTACAATGATACTGTAACGGAGCTAGTTTTAACCATAGCTTATTAATTACTGTTAGTTTGGCATAAGGCCATGCGGGTCGCGTTGATGACAAGCCAGGGGGAATAGATGAGATATTCGGTGAGCGCGATGCAGCGTGAGGGTAATAGCAGAAGCAATAAGGTAGCTAACGACGTCAACAGGTGGGCCGGAGTGCGGGATAATCTGTTATAACCCGCAGCCGGCGCACGTCGTGACGAGGGAGCATTTAAGAGCGCCGCGAAAAGGAGGAGGACTTCTTCTCCATTTGTTTGACTGTCACTGACGTGTATTTGTACGCATTCAGCCTTACGTATCTGCTCTCTGCTTGTCGATCTATTATGTCTAATACAACTGTTTGTGGTACGTTACTTTACTAGTTCGTGTTTTACTTCTTGTCTTGCGCTGTTGCTATGCTCTACTCTTACCGCTCTTGTACCTCACCCTAGAAGTACGAGGTTACAATACTAATATCCAAGATTCCATTATATCCAAGCAAAAATATGAGATAGTGATAGCCATATGCTAAAAAAACGCACATGCATAAAATACGATATCTACGAAAATACATTCACGCATAAACATAAACATACCAGCAGTTTGCTTCTCATAGCTTGAGTTCCTCTGCGGTTTGCTCGGACCAAGATTCATCGGTCTACACGCGAGGGAAGTAGATTTTGTGTTACTACTATATGCATCTTCCTGCGACGCGGTGGCCACCATCGGTGTAGCCCCCTTTGCCGGCTCCGTGCTGACGTCATCCCTCGACGAGCTGTGAGTATGATCGGGCAATAAGATGTATTTCCTACAAACGTACGACGTGCACATATGCAGAGTAGGAAAGAAAACGTGTTAAATCTACCTGTCCATCGATCGGTGTAGCTCTCTCCTCTTATATCGCGCACGTACACCCCACATACACACAAGCAGACCACAAGCTCAGAATCATAGACATTCGCTCACAGAGATAGTCTACACGCGCACGCACTCACCCACGCGCGGAGACGCATACACGCACGCACACACTGAACACGCACGCACGCACACACTAAACGCGCAGCGCACGCACACACACACGCACACACACACACACACTAAACGCGCACGCACACACTAAACACGCACGCACATACTAAACACGCACGCACACACTAAACGCGCACGCACACACTCAATGCGCACGCACACACTCAATGCGCACGCACACGCTAAACGCGCACGCACATACTAAGCACGTACGCACTCACTAAACACGCACGCACGCATAACACGCGCACGCACTAATGCACCAACGCGCGGAGACGCATACACGCACGCACACACGGAACACGCGCGCACACACACACACTAAACGCGCACGCACGCACGCAACACGCACGCACATACTAAACACGCACGCACACACTAAACGCGCACGCACACACTAAACACGCACGCACATACTAAACACGCACGCACACACTAAACGCGCACGCACACACTAAATGAGCACGCACACACTCAATGCGCACGCACACACTAAACATGCACGCACACACTAAACACGCACGCACATACTAAACACGCACGCACACACTAAACGCGCA